ACCTCAAAATAAAAGTTCTCATTTCTGCTTATTTTGGGGATCTTGGCTTAAATGCCACTAGTTTTGGGAAGCTTCCCTAGATTAGGGAAAATTCCAGTGGTGCTTGCACTCAGGACACTTTATAAACCTTCTCAGGTTTATAGACTCAGTAATTACTTGAATCCCTCCTCATTAACAGTGGCAGTGTGTGGGGAGGGGGGGCATGCACCCACATACAAGCCCACACTTCCTTAACACCTCCATCTCCCCAGCATGAGGACGCTGCCTGCCTGACCAACTAATGACAAGAGCCAAAACTGTCAGGCCCTCAGGATCTCAGGTTAAATCTCCATCGTGCCCTAAAGCCACCCATGCTTCAGATGCTAGGGACTCCATTCCAGGCCCCAGAGCTGCCCCCCCCCCCACTTTCCTTTTGCACCAGGAAGTGTCATAACTCTGAGGGCTCCCTCTGTGCCCGCAATCGTGCGGCACTCCCCCCCTGTACAGACATGGGCTCCCTCTTTTACCCCAGGGCCCTTCCCCTGCCGACTCTTCTCTGAAACCTCCACCTGCCACAGCCAAACCCCAGAACCTCGGCGTCCAGAATGCCTGCCCTCCCCCCATCCCTTCACTCCCATCAGGCTAGAATCTTGAGGGAAGCTTCCAGTTTGTAGTTAATTGACATATCACATGACAATGTTTGTGGCGCAAAGAACTGCCTTCTATGACACCTGTATAGTCTCCTATACAGCTGTGTCCCCAGTGGTAACCTTCATGGGGTCCCACACTTGTAGGGACACACATATTTTTAAATGAATAAGATATTTTCTCCCTCATATCCATAGGAATATGGTCTCTGTCTACATGTCACTTTTGAGAATTAATTTAAATGCAGTTGTCCTGCATGCTTACAACATGAAAAAGATGTCTGTTTTCACCAGTGAACAAAGTCCGTCTTTTTAGGTTTATTCCATCTTTACTTGAGAAACAAATGCAGGCCTTATGCAGCAGATCAAGGTAGGGACTGTGTTCGTCAGTGTACCAGACACGCCACTGCGTAAGGCAAAAGGAATTTCTCCTGGAGCTGATAATTTCCAACATGTTCAGTAACATTTGTCTCTTGGGCTTCTGAAAGAGACCTTGAGTGTGGAGCCATCTGAAACCTATGAAACACTACAACAAGGAGACTATATTGCTATTCATACTTACTAGTTTATTTTCCATGCTGATGTTTCCTGATTGTTTTCTAGTTAAGAAAATAAGTAATTTTGATTCTGAAAAATCCTAACTATAAATCCATGGAGACAGAAAAGTAGATCGGTGGTTGCCAGGAACAAGGGGGCATGGAGAAATGGGGAGAAATTGCTCGATGGATCCTTTTGGGGTTCCTTTTAGGGTGAGAAAAAGTTTGGAACTAGAGAGGAGTATGTGTTGCACAACACTGTGAAGGTAGGAAATGTTGCTGAGTTGTTCACTCTGAAAGAGCTGCTTTTAGGTTATGTGAACTTCACCCTAACAAAAAAAGTCACATGTGACTTTAAATACTACTGAATGCTTTTCTGAATGTCCTACAAGACAAGGCAGTGCTGTATTCCTGAACAGCCCCAGATCCAAGGCCCCACCATCCTGTACCTGGCCTTTGGATAAGGAATGGGGTCCCCCCACGTATAAGCAGGGCCATGTCCTGTGAGTGTCCTCAGAGACACTCAGCTGAGCACCATACGAACAGGCCACACGCTGCAGAGTGTTTGTATTTTCCTTTGTTTCTCCTTTGGCTGACACCAGGACTTGGTAAGGTGTGTTTAGTTTGATGAAGGACTTCTCTAGTTCCAAAAGTGGAACCTGTGGTGGATTTTATTTTTTCCTTTAAATGAGTGGAATCTTCCAGTGACAACAACCCACAGACTGTGGATAGAATCTCTGGACACTTGACCGGGCCATCTGTCCACCAGGGCCCAGTGGAGAGGAAGGAGAAGGAGCCTGGGCACAGGGCAGAGTCATGGGCTAGCAGTTTGTCTCCATTTGTGGTAGGTTCTATAAAGGCAAAGGCTGACTGTATCAAGGGTGGGTAGACTTGTCCTAACAGCTGTGTTGTCTTGTCCAAGGTGGAACAGACTATCTACCAAGGTGCAAGAGCAGCATCGTGGATCGGGAGCGAGGCTGACTGGGAGGGGAGGCCATCTGGCCTCCTCCTTGCTGGGGCCTGGTGGGGTTGGGCTGCCTGTGCACAAATATCCCCTCCATCCTTTAAACACATGGGGACCCAAGGGAAATTGTACCCTTCCACTTCAAATGTGGCACTGGAACCCAAGAACCCAATGGCTATACCTATAATCAGGATGCATCAATCAACTTTATAACCAAGGTCTATGGGTTTTAAGCACTTATGTTGCCTCCTGATTTCAGCACTTCGTACCTTCTCATATGCCTTCACATACATGGTGCCATTCAGGAGCCCAAGATACAAATGCTGCTGAATGTCTTGGAAAATACTGGCTCCAGGGAAAATTCCTTTCCCTTTACATAGTGGCAGTGCCATGAACAGAGAAAGCCTGGTGACAAAGTTCTGTGCACCTGGAGACCTCTAGGTCCAGGAGAGTCCCAGGAATCTGTCACCAACATATTTTTCCAGGGGAGAGGATGCTAACTAATCCTTGAAACTCCAACTTTGCTGGGCATGTCATCAGGACAGCTTACTATCAACCCGAGTCACTCAATAGGGTTTGAACCAGGATAGCCTAGATTTAGCAGTGACTACAAAATTCTCTGGCAGACCCTGGTCTGGCCCCTTACTGTTTTTCTAAAAAAAAAAAAAAAAAAAGCGGGGTGGGGGCACCTGGATGGCACCATCAGTCAAGCATCCAACTCTTGGTTTTGGCTCAGGTCATGATCTCAGGGTCGTGAGATTGAGCCCTGCATTGGACTCTGTGCTCAGCACAGCATCTGCTTGAGACTCTCCCACTCCCTCTGCACCCCTTGTTCTTTCTCTCAAATAAAGCTTTAAAAAAAAATTTTAAAAACCTGAAAATCTGTCCAGATGTTTTTAAGGTAGTTATAGCTGCCCAAAGAGGCATAGGACTCCACCTCGTAAGTGCCTGGCAATCATCAACCTCTCTAATTGCCATGTGGACAAAGAGGTGGAAATTTAAACAAGGGAGATTTTGAAGTCTTAGTGGAAGATGGAAGGTGTCATGGAAGAGCCAAGGCATGAGAGGCACGCGGAGACACGTGAGCACAGGCGGCTCCCCAGGCAGCATAGTCCCTGAAGCCGACAGAAGCCCGTGTGAACGTTCCCAGCAATCCTTGACACTTCCACAACCGGGGGACACAGCCGCTGTGCAGAAAAAGAGAGACACGTCTTTCCATGGTGTCTGCCTGGGCAGAAGAAGTTCCTAGAAGGCCGGGCACTGAAACTTCTGAGTGCCCTGTCCCACAGGGCCCAGCCCTCTCAGGAAGGAAAGGAGGAGCTACCCTCATCCTCCTCTTATTGTACTTTCTTTACCCTCTTCCCTTCCAGACATGGAGACAAAGGCTCAAAGCAGTTAAATGGCTTTCTTCAGAACTCAACAGCCACTGAGTAGTGGCCACAGGCTGGGGATTTAGGGCTCATCTGATGCCCAGTCCCATGCTCTCAGGTCCTCCAGAGAATGAGGCCCACACACCAAACTCCTCCGAAGCAGATTTGCAGTGACCAGTGCAACGTCAGGGGCTAGTTCTCAGCCAGCTGCCAACCGCTACAAGCATGAACTCACGATAGCTCTGCCTCCCTATCATCTATGCTGCAAGGGAAGAGCGGCCCTGAACAGATGTGCTCCCTTTACCCTGGGCAATGGGGTCTGGGCTGACACCTCTCAGTTCCTCATCTAACAACCTGGGTCTCTTCAGGAAGAAAATCTGGAGATGGGATCATCCACTTATGTGCATGCCTCCGTTTTTTTCAGAGGCCCTTCCGTCACATGATCTCATTTGCTCACCTGGACAATCTTAGCGATACATTTAATTGGTTCTTTGAAGATCCTTGGGTTTCCAGAGCCAACCTGTTTGAACAAAATACCCCCAGGAAGGGACAGGACCTTGAACTTTTATTGGCTCATACCTTGGCAGTAGTTGGCAGCTAGCTGAGAGGCCCTGAGAAGGGGGAACAGGATTAGGAGGGGCTGAAAGAGGGTCAAGGGGACAAGCAGGAGAAAGGAGTCGGGGCAGCATTACGTGCCAACCACTGGCCCACTTCACCCTGTTGCAGAAAGAGGCTCCAGCAGAGCCATTTCCCTGCTTTGCCCATCCACCAGAGAGACCAATTCCATCCCCAAGGCCAAAAATAGAAAAGTCTAGAAGAAAAAGAGAAGTGACAGGAGAGGTAGGGGGGAAAAGGATGGAATAAACCAACCATCAGAGGCTCTTCAATCTTAATTCATTTTATTCTACAAAAACTACTCAATTGAAAGTGGAAAAGCTAACCAAAAAAAAAAAAAAAAGTTTTAATATGTTCTTTCTTCCATAGCAGCAAGCTTTGTCTAACAAGCTTTCTTTAGTGCAAATACTGTAGGCTTGTATTACAGTAAAATAACAAAACAAAACAAAACAACAGAAAACACCACCAGAAATGCTTCAGAGCAGAGCTACTCCTCAATTTTCAAAGCTATACAAAGACTTTTGAGCTTGTGGTCCTGCATGGAGAGGCCTATTTGGAAGCCTTTCCAATGGAACCATTTCACCAATACTTAAAGAAGAAGAAGGAGAAGGAGAAGGAGAAGAAGAAAAGAAGAAGATGCTCAGAAAGGTAATTCAATTCCCCGTAGAGCTATAGGAATCTTGTACAACTTGTTTGCCTCCAGAATCTTATAGCAGACTTTACTCCACATCATTGACATATCTCAAATACAGATGCACAGAGCTTATGCTTTTCCACTATATACCAAAATACGATATATACATCTCTCGCTGAAAAGACACCCTGATACCTATTCTTTATACAAAGGCGAATATTTTCTTCCTCCACATCAAGTAACCACAAACTAAAATAAATGGAATAAACTTTTAATCATACAGAGAAAATAATTTTTGAGGAACAGGGCAGGATCTTTCCTTGTATTCTCTTACAATGTAGACTTTTTGGTGACCACTGTCCCCAGAGGAATGACAATCCATCTTTAAAAACAGAACCATTTTATACAGTTTATACAGCACATGTCACAAATCATTTTAGGAACAAAAAAAGCATCATTAGCCTAAATTTTTTAAAAAAAATGAAGAAAGAGAGGGAGAGAGGAACCGAGTATTTTAATGCTGTTTCTCATCAGGCTTGGTACAACACAAAGATGTAAACATTTTAAATAAATAATAAAATAAATGTCAATTTCTTCTCCCCCTCCCCTTCCTATCCCCCACTCAAAATTTGACCCAGCCTTTCCTGAACACATCAGCATTGGAAAATGAAAGCCCTCTGTTGATGTATGGCCAAAACACTAGAAGCATGAAAAGATGTCAAATTAGTAGTGGGATGACTGAATTTTTAAAAGTAGCAAGAGGCACCCTGGAAATGTACACACACGTACACACACACGCACGCACACATCCAACCTGTCAATAAATAGTGAGATGCTGGCTTTTAAGATGAATGCCAAGAAGACTCAACAAGCAGAAAGTAGCAAGACCCCTTTACTTAAGTTTTAAAAAGAAAGTTACGTCACATATCCTATTGGTCCACAAATTCTATAAGGACTCAGATTACCCCTCCAACCATCTGAGGAGTGCAAAGGAGCACATCACGAGGGAGAGGGAACAGAAGTCTGGAGGCGAGAGGATATGGGGGGGGGTCTTTGAGAACCAACCTCAGATTGAAGGCAATCTTGCCTCAGATCTTTGAAGAAAGACCTTTTCACCTCCAAGTGTTTTCATTCATCCATTACTTGGGGGCCTTAAATAGGGGATACCCTCATCCCTTAGTCTTATCCTAAAGAGGGTATATTTACAAAAAGTGCCTAACACAGTGCCTGGCACATAGTAGGTGCTTATTCCTTTCCTTCTTAAAGGGGCCATGTGATATCTGATCCAGAAGGAGACCGACCGGAAAGAGAAATGGTGAGATTGCAGAAGCACTGCTGGTCCATCAAGGTAAGGGGAGAGAAGTTCCAATGCTTATGGGTTGAGCCCTCCCTTAGACTCAGAGCCTAGTGGGAGCAGAGCAGAGACTCTTCCCCAAAGCCTGAGAAAAAGGAAGCAGTAGCCTCTGATGGCTCTTGGCTGAGTTGCTTGTTTGGCCATGGTGGACACACCTGGCCTTTCTCACAGGCAGAACAATGATTTCTTTCTGAAAACTCCCCCCGTGAATTCTCTGCTTACAGCTGGCTCCAGCAGTTGCCTAAGCTTCACCTGGGATCTCCTCTCTTTCCTGTGTCAGCAGCTGTCCCCAACCACTCAGCCAGGAAGAGGACTGATCCCAGAGGCCAGCCAGGTGGCAGAGAGGACTGTGTGGTGCATACTAGCTTGTCAAGGAGTGCCTGCCCTATGCCGTCCCAGAGCTGCCTGCAGCCCAACTGGAGTTCACACCAGCTGCCTCACGGCTGGGAACACAGGAGAAGCACAGCAGTTTCCAGCCCAAGCACAAAGGCACCCCCACTGCAGCTGTTCCTTTAGTTGGAGCCACGGAGGAGAAAGCAGCAGGCCTGGCGTCTGGTAATTCTGAACAATGGTGTGTGTGCATGAACTCAGAGAACAAGCCAGAAGAAGAAAAGAAGGACGTGCTCATGAGTTAGGGGTGAATATTCAGCCTTCCCCAAATAACCTCTGGCTTTGGGGAAGCCAAACACTACCTCCTAGAACAAAGCCAGAGGGTCCTGAAGGGGACAGCTTAGAAGCTTCTAAAAGCCTATGGATTGGTAGATTTTGGCCTTCTGCTGGTCCCAAAGCCAACACAGCTTGAAATCTGAACAACAGCCAAACTGTCTCAGGAATGTCCAGCCTGGCCCCGAGTCACAGACTGTGTCCTGCCTTGGGATCAGTGCTGTGCAAAGTGGGACACAAAGGGTCTTTTAGAAATAAAACACCAAAGCAGCTTCATTTAAGAAATATGTATACATATATATGCAAATATATATGTATATATATGCAGAAAAGAAGCAAATAGCTCGCAATTGGCCACAAATACCTCTTGAGATGATTAAGCCTTTCAGAGCTGAGCACACCCCGGTTTTCTTTGCCCACCTCCTGCTATTCCTGGCTGACTCTGTGTCTTCAATTAGTCTGAAGACGCCAGAAACTCAATTGCCCAATCTAATAAGGAGTGCCCCTCCCAGAACCTCTGGGAAACGTGGAGGGCAGCCTCATAGCCAAGGAATGTGGGAAATAACATTTTTAAGGGATTTTTGGACAAAATCCTTTTTTTTTTTTTTTTTTTAAATCTCCACGCTCTGCATGGCCTAACCTTCCAAGCATCCCTTCAGGTCATAGCGGGCTGTATATCTGGAGCATCTGCTGCTCCATTCCGTGTTCCATTCTAGTGCATGGAGAGGGGATGGGCAGGAAGGACCAGCTCTGAGGCCTGGGCGTGTGAGCTAACATGTCACAGCGCTCTCTCAATCTCTTTCTCTCTCTCCTCCCCCAGAGGAACTTTGAAATTTAACCCCCACTGGGTTTGATTTAAATAATATCTATATAATTTTAAATTATCATACAATGATCTCTAGAGCTGAATCACAACAGCGGGGGTCCCCCAGGGCACTAGCCCAGCAGAGGCCAATCCTAGGGGGTCAGCCAGAGCTATGCCCTCAGGAGGGAAAGGCTCAGAGGGGTGGGAAGCAGGGACCATGCTGAGCTGTGCTCTTGCAGGAGGTCGGGAGGACTCCCCACTCCCTACCCCACAGGAAGGGGGCACCTCTCCAGCAGTGGGAAGCAATACATCTTATCTGATTTCAGCAGCCCCCAGGAATGGCATGTAAGCCCCAAGCCTTAGCAACAGCTCTGGGCCAGTGGTTCACAGCTGGCTGGCTGGACCTGCAGAGCACTGCGGGGGACGGAGTATATAAAAAAGAAAGCACTCCATCAGATTGTAGGGGACCACAGAAGGTAGAAAAGGCCTGGCATCCAACTGAGAGGCAAATCCCACTCTGCCTCCCTCCTTCCTCCCCTACCTTTCCATCCACTGCAAAAGTGCCTTTGAGGCTTCCGGAAGGGCCACCTGGCAGCAATCTGGGGAGGGGCCAGGCCCACGCTCATTAAATCTCCGTGGGTGGCGTCACCCCGAAAGCCAGGCTGGGGTAGGGCAGAGCCAGTAGGGACCTGGAGCGACATGTGATTCCTAGGGAGGGACGCCTCCCTGGTCTAGAGAGAAGGGTCCAGGGGCAGGATGGCGAGGCAGTAATTATAGGAGACGTCCTGCTCAAGACACCAGGTAAGGGAAGCTGCCTAGGACACCTGCGTGGCTTGTTGGCACTATTCCTGCCCTGGTAATTAGGCATTTGGCAAACCCAACCTGCGCCCCAGCTGTCTCACTCACACCCTGTTTTCTGGCCAAGCCGCTCCTCCAAAAAGTTGTCTCCGAGGATGGGGAGGAAGGGTCCTCCGAGCCTCCCAGTGGTGGCAGCATTTCCTTGAGAGCTCAGGGAGCCCTGCTGGTGGTCCTGGAGATGGTGGTGGACCGAGGAGTGTCAAGGGAGGGAAGGTTCTGTATTGCACATTGACTGTCCCCTTCCGGACAAGTCAGCCCCAGCAGAAGAGTCCGTCACCTGCTGCCCATCTCCAGAAATGAAGAGCTTTAATATTCAGACCACCCAGATGAAATGTCATGGCAAATTTGATAAAAACCAAGAGGAAGTGAAATTGACACTGGGGGGAAGGAAGGGGTGAAGAGAGGGAAGGTGAAACCAAAAGGCACTGAGCATGCCGGGCGGGGTGGGGAAGGACACCGTCACTCCAGAGATGCAGCGTAACAATGGCACAGGATTGGTCCACACCCGCTGCAGGCTCTTCAGAAGCTGGAGAGATGCCTGAGTCCACCAAACCAAGTTCTCCAAGGCTTTTCAAGAAACAGGATTTGCTTTGCAGGATGCATGAGGGAGGAGGTCCTGTGACTTCTAAGAGATTGCTGAAGCCCTCCGGCGCCTCACCACCAAACCCCACCTAGGTCTCCCTCGAGCTGGGAAGCTCTCTGGCAGGGTCCCCCTCCTGGCCTCACGGCCCTGGAGCACTTGAAGGTGCTAGTCCCTGGGAAGGAGGCAGAGACGAGGACCCCCTGGGAGCTGGGTTACAGAGCCAGTAGGGTGGGGGAGTTCAAGGAGTCCGATGACTGGTCCCCACTGCTACTGCTTCTGCGGTGAGCCTTGGAGCAGGACTCGGAGGGTGACGCAGGAGACTCCTGTTCCAAGACGCTGGGGTAGGTGAAGACGAGGTTCGAGGTGCCCGGAGTGATGGCAGGCGTGGAGGTCACCACGATGGGGGTGTGCAGGGGCTCCTCCCCGTAGAAGCCCCCAGCAATGCTAATGGGCTTGATGACAGAGCGCTGGGCCTTGTCTAGCCCGGCGGACGAGGATGAGGGGCTGTCCTCTTCCAGAGGCTCCTGTTTCACCACCACGGCACCCACTCCACCGCCCCCACCACGCAGGGGCTGCAGCCCAGAGGCAGAGGGTGATCGGCGCTCCTCGGGGCTGATCTTACACACGGGCCCATGGGCCACCAGCATGAATTCCAGCTTTTCCTTCTCCTTCTGCAGCTCAGCGATCTCTTTCTGCAGGCCTGACTTCTCCTCCTCCAGCTCCTCTGTCTCCTGCAGGAGGGGAAAGAGAAGTGTGTGAGGGACAGGAACTGGCCAGAGATCTGCTAGGGGTGGGAGGTTTGAAACCAGCTGAGAAAGGGAAAACCATAACTGTGCTCAGAGGACCAACGGTGAAAGCAGCCAGCTCACAACCCTGGCCACAGACCCCACTGCTTCTAAGTGACCTGGAGGCTCAAGATCACTTTCATGTCCAAAGCTCCAGACTGAGAAAGGAGGAAAGTCGGCTTGGAGGAAGGATGAAACAACAATTAGCTGCCACGACTGAGGGCTTACTTTGTGCCAGACACCGCAGAACAATCCTCCAGAAGATTTCTGAAGCAGGTATTTTCCATCATTTTGCAGACAAGGAAACTGAGGTTCAGAGAGGTTTAGTAGTCTGCCCAACGTCACAGAGCAAGCAGGTAGGGCAGCCCAGACTTGACCCCGACAGATCTGACTCTAGAGTCCATCTGCTACCATGCTCTGGTACCTCACTGCCAGGACTGCCCTCAGCTACCCTTGAAGGTTTACAGTGAGGTGTGGGGTAAGGGAGCATGGCATGTAGTTTCAGCCCTCTCTCCTTCTCACACTCTTTCAACCCCATCCAGCCCGCCTGTGGGTGCAGAAACACTGAACTCTAAGCTGCACACACGAGCCAAGGATGGCGCCAGGCTGGCAGGAAGCACTCCAGCAGTCCCGGCTAAATTGTCATTGCCCCACTTCCCTTTTTTGCTCTAATTTCTGAAGCATGTGATTCAGGGCACACAGAACCCTCAGAGAACATTCCGTTCAGTCCCCGCGCTTTAAAAGATGAGGAACCCGACAGGCCCCGAGCAGGCACGTGAGGATGGCAGGGTCCCCCCACAAGGAACTCAGCCCCTTCCTCTGACACAAAGCCAGAGAGAAGCAGCAAAAGCACGTGGAGGGAGCAGGTATGAAAGATGCAGAGGTGTGTGTCACGGGCCTCCTCCCACTTTTCCCCGAACACAGATTCCTGTTCAAGAATGCAATGATATGGGCCAGAGCTTCACAAAGCAGTGTACAGCATATTCCACAGTGAAAAAAAGTTTCCATCTGTCTCAAGGGTCTGACGAACGTCATGAGCTTCTGAGAGGTTTCCTGTGGAGGATGTGGCTCAGGGGCCTGGGTGGCTAGGGCGGGTGGGGCGGCAGGGGAGTAGGGTGTGAGGCTTCTGGGGGAGGGAGAGAAGAGGAAAGCAGGGCGCCCTGGAGGAGGGGCTATTCTAGGGCTAGTGTAGGGAGCACCCAGGCTCGACCCAGAGGACCTGGCTCCTTAGAAGGTAAGTGGTGGGAGGACTCCACTGGGGGAGTCTACCCAGGGATATCTGGTCACTAAGGGATCTCTTCACCTAGTGACAGAGAGCGTCTGCTTGCCCTGCCAATGCTCAGACACACACCTCCACCGGACACTCCCCGTGGGCCATGGGGAATTCATGCAGTATATATTCAATCCCCAAGAGGGAGGGCTCCGAGTCCCAGATGGACAAAGGGAAGCTATAAGCAGGTGGAGGGTCCCAGGAGCATTCAAAGTCACACAGGAGGTGCAAGGTAATTTGTGATTTCCAAAGCCCCTCCCCGGCCTGGTCACCGTAAGGACCGTCAACAGTCTCTCTCATGTCTTTGCTTTGAAAACATTCCACCCAGAAGAGTCAGGGCTTTGGGCTTCCTCCACACGCCATTCAGCCCATCCTAGGGCTAGGCCCTGGAGGGAGTTACGTGAAGCTGGTCAGGTCAGGCTTTTAAGAGGGAAAGGCAGGGCCACGGCCCCCAGGTGTGGGCAATTAGGCAGCAGGGGAGAGTGACTCACGTGGGCAGAGTGAGCTATCAAGGTGACAGCTTCAGGCTCATAGCAGAGGTGGGGAATCCTTCTGCCCATGAAGGATATGAGAAAACCCCAAGACAGTACCACTCAGCTGGCCCATGTTCACTTCCATGAAACCCAGAGAACTTCAAAACCCAGCAGAGGTGCAAGAGGCCCAGACAGCGGGTCTCCCCCTGCCCAAACTGGATCACTTTGGATGATCTGGCCACTCCTGCTGGTGGTAGGGATGGGGGCGGCGGGAACCACGGGAAACGGCCCTGGAGGGGGTAGGTCTGGGACTGAGCTGGCTCCCAGGGCCTAGCAATGCCAGCACCCTCTACCATCTGACAACCATGGGCCCCGGGAGGTCCGAGAGCAGGGACCGCTCAGGTGCTGAGTAAGAAAGGATGCTAGGCCCCAGGAGGCTGTTGAGTCATTGAGTCGGTTCCCTCCCTGGGCCCAGGCTGGTGGGCCCTCCCTCCCTCTCCCCTTCCCTCTCTCTTCTTTAATTGGGGTGGTGCTAAACCGATGTGTTCAAAGAAGGGCTGTTTCTGTCCACCCTGACTCATCTCTAGGCCACTAGTGGACAAGGAGAGGGTGGGAGGCCAGGAGCCCCAAGCCTCTTGCTCTTGTCCACCCAGAAGTGCTCCCACCCCACGCAGAGCTCCTCACCGCCTGCAGTTTTTCCGTCAGCTCCCGCCGTCGGTTCCGGCACTTGGCTGCGGCCAGCTTGTTCCTCTCCCTCCGGATTCGACGTTTCTCCTCCTCTTCAGGGGACAGCTAGAGGCCAAAGTCAAGGACCATGATTAGGTTTGAGTAAATGCTCCACCAGCTTTTATTTTCTAACTGTATTTTAAGAAACTCTGCTGAGAGGCACCTGGGTGGCACACCGGTGATCTCAGGGTTGTGAGATCGAGTCTCACTTCGGGCCTTGTGCTCAGGGTAGAGCCTGCTTGGGATTCTCTGCCCCTCTCCCTCTGTCCGTCCTCCTCATGTGTGCACGCATTCTCTCTCTCTCTCTCTGTCTTTCAAATAACTCAATAAACCTTTAAAGATACAAAAAAAGAAACCCTTCCTTTTTTGAATGTGCAGGGAGAGAAAGGCGAGAGGAGGCTGGCTGGCATGGGCAGTTCCAGAATACGTGGCTCACTGCTGTAGCCACCAGGGAGGACACTTAGGGCTGAACCTACCCTGGAAGGTGACATCCCATGTTTGAGGGGAGGCCAGGGCAGCCATGTGTCAGGGACTCATCAGCCTAGGCAAGATAGTAGCATTTATCATGCCAGCCCTGATTCAGTGCCAAGGCCAGAGAGAAGAAGCTGGGGCCTCTTCCCCAGAGTCCCCTCATACCAGCCAGGCCTGGCCCCACCCAATTAAATAGCTTCTTCCAAACCCTGGCTAATTACTCCTCCCCACCATCCTGCCAGCTCTGCAAGCCTCATTATCCCCATTTGGTTAAGTAGCTAGGCCCACAGTAAGAACCACCCTGGAGGGGGGAATGTTCTACTGCCAGGGGGTAAGCCAAGGATGCCACCCCACTCCCAACTTCCTCTGCCTTTCCTAGAGTGCCAGCTGCTCAACGTTCAACCTGGGGGACTCGCTAGTGTGCCTGGCACAATGCTAGGCTAGACAGGACAGGCAAAAGGAGAAGGAGCCCTCAGGCACATTCAATCCTGCTGCCCACCACATCCATTCATTCAACAAATGAGAAACTTCTATGTGCCGCCAGGCATGGTTTGAGGGGTTGGAGATTTATCTGAGAACCAAATGAACAAAAATCCCCCTGCAGAGTTTACAATCTAGCTCCTTATAAGGAGGCTGGATAGAGGCCTGTGACTCATGCCCTAGGGCAAGAACTCTGCTCAACACAGTGCTGATGCTCTGTTTACATATAGCCCTTCCTGTGACCCCAGTGCCCCTCGCAGGCTGAGGTGACTCGAGGAGATGGCTGTGGGCCAAGGCAGAAAATAATTCCAAAAGAAAGGCCATCCCATGCAGTTCTCAGACAATGACGGCATACCTACTATGTGCCAAGCACAGTACTGGGGGCTTAGAAGATTGCATGTGGGATAAGATCTGGGTCCTATCCTCAAGGGACAACTTGGGGGAAAAAAGCCAAAGCCACTTTTGGAGGAGGTGAGAAGAGGTGCCCCATTGAGAGATGTTGCCTCACTGCCAGCCACCCCCTGAGGGAAGGAGTCGTGGTCCTGGCTGGGCCCAGGTCAGAGTCCACAGTGCTCGCCACAGCCTGCAGTTCTATTGCTGTCATGTCCAAGATGGCAAAGCAGGGCACAGCATCAGAGAGGATGATCCCCACCCTGTCTACACAAAGGAAACTCCGTGGCCCCAACCAAGGTGCCAGAGTCCTACATCAAATGCTCCAAACATTGGCATGGAAGCAAGCCAGTCAACTAACTGTTCAGAAAGAACCTCTCTCTGAGGCATCAGGCCACCAGAGCATAGAGAGGCTCACCTCGCCTTCCCAACTTTCAAATCCACCCCCAGCCCCCATGTGGCCCCCCCGAGGTGGGGGCAGGAAGCCTAGTGGGCTATAGGGAGACCTACTAGCTTCCCGCGACCGCCAGGAAGGTCCCTGTCTCCCAGGGCTTCCGCTGTGTTCCTGCCTTGCCTTGTCCTGCGTCTGCCTCTGGGGCCTCCTTCACTCCCGGGACACTTTCCCCATGCTCCTTCACCACCTCCCAGATGGCACCGCACTGGGCTTAAGAGCCAGGCCCAGCTCAGCCCTCACTGCCTCTGTTGTCACCTGCAGTGGCCTCCAGCTGGGGCACAGAGAGCCCGCCCAGTTGGTAACGGCCCTGTTAGCTCCCTGGCCCCTTCCAAAGGCCTGCTCTTAGAGCCCATGTTCATCCTGGCTCCACCTCCATCCTCAAGCCCTGTCTTCAGTCCCAGCCTCGGAAATCCTCCACCTCCCCCCAGAAAGCCAGAGGCTCCACATCCTCTCTTCTGAGCAGTCCACGGCGGCCTGAGAGCAGAACACAGATACGGCGTTTCTGTGTGGCTGTGGACAAATCACTGAGCCTCATTTCCCATTTAGAATATGGGTTTGCGGGACACCTAGGTGGCGCAGCAGTTTGGCGCCTGCCCTTCGGCCCAGGGCGTGAACCTGGAGTCCCTGGATCAAGTCCCACGTCGGGCTCCCTGCATGGAGCCTGCTTCTCCCTCTGCCTGTGTCTCTGCCTCTCTCTCTGTATCTCTCATGAATAAATAAATAAAATCTTAAAAAAAAAAAAGAATATAGGATTGCTAGGACCTGTCCTATCTTCCAAAAAGTTTCTGTCGTGATTAGATGAGATGCAGTGTGAAAGCCCTTTCTACTAGAAAGTGCTGGAAGGGAAAAGATATAAATCAGAGGTCCCTTTGCTGATGCTTTCTCAGAGCCCTGAAAGAGTCCAGATGAACCAGAGATCCAGAGTTCACCCACTTGGATACCTTTTGCTGTGTGTGTGGGTTGGCTGCCCAGCTGAGGTCATGAGGCCACCTGGCTGAGGTCCTAAGTACTTGCTCCTCCTAAACCTGTCTCAACCTGAGCCCAACAGTTACCAAGAGAGCCTGCTGGCCCTGCTGCAGTCCTGCATTTGAGCAGTCCTGGGTTCTCTACTCAAAGGGCTACCAGGGCTCCCCTGGAGGCCCAGAAAAGCCCCTCATCCTTCACTGACGACGGGCAGAAAAGATGAAGAGATGGTTGTAGTACATTTTAGCTTCCCTTCCCCCTTGGCAGCTTCCGGACAACTTTTGGCCTCCTGATTAGCCTAGAAGTCTCTCCCCTATCTGTAAGATATGAGGCAGCTAGCGGGAGCTGTCAGCATAGGAAGTGCTGAGGGGTGGTGACACCAACAGAGTTACAACTCTAGTGTGTCAGCCCCACCACGTACCTACCCACAAGCCACACACTCCCTGCTCCCCGCCTTCTCAGTCGCCACCACTGGCCTCAGAGGAGCCTCTGGGCAAGCTCTGAGGAGGCTAGCGAGGCACCATGCTGGCTCTGGGTAACAGGCTCCTCTCCCTGGCAGAGGTCAGCAAGGTGGAAGTCTGCTTCAGAGGAAGACCCTCAGGCTAGGAACCCAAAGAGCCAAGGTTCCAGGATGCTACTGCCCAGGTCTCCTGCGAGCTGCTGGATGATTGTCTGAATTCCTAAGTGATGTGGGATAAAATGCTCCTGGCTCTCTCCCTCCCTCTCAGAAAAGGAAGGAAATTCTCCAGACAGATTGTCTTAAGGCACGCCTAGGTGGTATGCTGGGAAAACCACAGGGCTGAAGGTCAGAGGAGGTGGATCCCAGCCCTGGCTCTGCCACTAACTCACGGTGTCACCCTAGACGGGGCCCTTCTCCTTTCCAGACCTGTGTCCTCATCTGTAAAATGGGTACAGAGGGGAAATTGGAAAAACTGGTCTCCTAAGTCCCATCCGGATGCAAGCTTCTAAATTTAGTGTGAGCTTGGCCCAGAAAGGAATGGAGAATGTTCAGCACATCATACGTTTTGTCCTGCTAGCTTGAAAGTCACAAAACTGGCTCTCACTTAGGGGTCACTTCCACAATATGGTACCAGCTCATCAGTGACTGTAAAGCTTGACACCTTGGGCTCCTGAAGGAAGCATATTTTATAAAGGACAGTATGATTACCATTACTGCAATGTTGACAACTACAATTCTGGAGAGTAACAGTAGGGGAGAGGGAGATATCGGCCACTTGCCCCAGGAGCAAAAGCCCAGCAACCGCAAGCAGCAACTATTAATTTTTTTTTAATTTTTTTTTTATTTATGATAGTCACAGAGAGAGAGAGAGAGAGGGGCAGAGACACAGGCAGAGGGAGAAGCAGGCTCCATGCACCAGGAGCCTGATGTGGGATTCGATCCCGGGTCTCCAGGATCGCGCCCTGGGCCAAAGGCAGGCGCCAAACCGCTGCGCCACCCAGGGATCCCAAGCAGCAACTATTAGTGTCCACAACTCTCCACACCGCCCTGTGGGGTCCTGCCATTAACAGAATAAACCAGTGTGTAGGGGATGCAAGGCCCAGCTTTGTCCTCAGAGAAATGGAGATCCTGTGAATGCTTCCAGTTCCTCAGATTAGGAACCCTTGTAATCCTAAGCATCCTGGGGACTCTTGGCCCTGGATCCATGATTCTCCACAGCAGCCCATGTGCAAAAGGTTTTTGTATTGGGAAACTGTGGACCTGGGATCCCAGAATGCAAGTGGATGGTGGTAACTGATAAGAGTGATTCTCCAAGCTAATATTTCATTTCAAAGAGGGATCCTACTGCTAAAGTATTTTCCCTTCCCTGGATCCATGGGGGCATGGTACTGTGGAAAGAGCACCGCACAGAGAGTCCAGGGAACTGGGTCCAGACTTCCTCACTCTCTTGCCAAGTGGCCCCAGGCAGGTTTGTCTAGGCTCTGGTTGCATCATCTGTGAAGGACGGCAGAGGCAGCTTTCTGAAGGCTCATCCCCTCTTATTATGCAGGACTCTGATTTCTGCTTTTGGGAATCAGGGGGCCCGTCGCTATCTTGGTTCACTACTAACACAGATGACATGCTTTTGAGTATGTAGACAGTGTCTAGAGAGCAGCTTTCTGGTGTCCCTCCCTGCCAGGCTGACTCTTTCTCAGAGCTGAGCCCTTTGAAGGGAGGACAAAGCTGATGTCTGACCTGCCCCCCATCACACGCTGTTAGCTGAAGCAGCTGAGCAGACTCCAAAGACCCCAGAGTTACTGCACTTCTAGGATGGGCATTCCAAGTATTCGAAATGGGATCCTGCTCCAAGCCAGAGGCCTAGGACACCAAGCAGGAATGCCAAGGAGGATGACCTGGGCCTGGAGGGTGACCCTTTGGGTCTGCAGAGTGTTTCACCTGCACAGATACCAGGTGACAATTAAGGACCAATCCACAAGAGCTCCCGGCCAGAATTTGGTTGGCCGTTTGGCCTGCAGCCCCTCTGCCACGAATCAGGGAAGGACACAGCTGTAGGCAGGCCCTAACAATCCTTCCCATCTGCTGACACCTTACCACATACAGTGTGTGTTCCCACATGTGATCTCATTTGCGTGGTAGTAAGTCCTGTCCGGCAGGTACCATTATCCCCATTTTGCAACTGAGGAAGCTGAGACTCTGGGATGCTAAGGGACATGAGCAAGATGACAGAGACAGGCCTGAGTCTTGGGCCTCCAGCTCTGCTTCCAACAATGAGTGTCACGGGCCCCCAGTCCCGAGCTCCCTCTTGTCCTCAGTGCTCCCAGGACACTGCCTCAGCCCCTCACCAGTACACGGAAAGACACTCCATGTTATGAGGCTCCGAAAGCCACCGAGGTGGCTCCTTCACCCTGACCTGAGCTGTACCTGCTCATCTCTCCTCCTGCGGCCCACGGTGGTGCCAATGGTCTTGATCACGCCGGGTCTTGGGAGTGCCATATGCCCGGGGACAGAGGCCAGGCCCGGCAGGGGGCTGTAGGGGTGCGAGCGGGGGTACGGGTTGGACATGGAGGTGATCACTGTGGGCTGCACCATCCACTGCAGGTCCTGGCTGGTCGTGATAGCGTTGATGGTGGGGATGAAGGCGCTGCCTGAGCCAGGCATATCTACCCGAAATTTCTGAAATGAGGAGAAACAGAGTATTGAGTCAGTAAGTACCCCGCAGAAGAGGACATGCAGAGCCAGGAGGGAGAGCAGAGTCACTGCCTGTGGGGCCAAGCTCAGAACACTCGGTGGGCTTCCCTGGACATGCAAGAATGAGTGGGATCTTAACTATTCCTGAGGCCCCATGTCAAATCTGTTCCCCTGAGGGCCTCGGGACCCCATTTCCAGGTGGCTCATGAAGATGTAATCATATTACAGCTTATTATACCTGCTTTTGTTACTTCCCAAATAGGTGTAGGATGGAGCTGTGAACCGATCCAGGGTGAGGCCAGGTCCACGAAAAGGTGCCTTCCAACTCACGAGACTGAAAAGTGGTAGCATTTGTGGCCAGATTTCCCTCTAAGTCCTTGTCCTCCTCCCGGCCCTTGACCACCATGTTGCTTAGAGTAGACACACTCTCTCTCTACCTACATATCTGTGTTCATAGATTTGTCTGTGGGAAACATCAGTGCTGCTAGCTCAGAGTTTTTTCCTGTCTCTCAACTTATGCCCAGATCGTGTTGCAGAACTCTCCGGAACATACTGCAGGAAGCATTCTATTTAAAATATAAGATGATGACAGAGTACAAACACTAAAATGGGTCACGCTCCTTAGCAGTTGGTCTTGGCCTTTTTTCAGGGCAGGCTACTAGAAAGTGAGCCAAAGAAGGGAAGGACCTCCCTGCCCCCACACACACTCCCTCTCAGGTTTCCAGCTTTTCAGAGGAAAGCTCCCCTCAGGGAGTGCTTACCCTCAGGTGATTCCCTCTCCACATAAGGGTTCTGCAAATTCTTCCTTCCCTAACCGGGTGGGTGACATGATGAAAGTCAATGTCACTTACTAAGCACTTACTAAATGACAGACACTGTGGTAGTGTTTGACCTCAATTATCTGATTACTTCTCACTCTGAGGTAAGAACTACCATTATCTCCTTTTTAGAGGCAGAAATTTAGGCATACAGAGATTAAGTAATTTGTCCAAGGCCACCCTGCTCATAACCCTGCTCATAAGCATGGGGGTCAGGATTCAAACACAGTTCAGCTTGATAAAGAGGCCAAGGTTCCCAAACGTGGCACAACACAAGCTGCTGTGCATGGCTTTTTTCTTCCTCGAAATCCAGGCCCAAGCACTGGTACCAACCCCAACTGCCCTCAGAGCATCAGCTCATCCCTGCCAAGAGCCCCTACAGACCATCCCTTTCATCCAGAAGGCCCCATAGGCCCAACCCCAGATAAAATCCTGCTATCATTGGCATGGGTGCTATAGCATCCCCCCTATTTTGGCCTGGTCAGACCCAACCAGGAGTAGAAGTATTAACAGCAAGGCCAGCTGCCACCATTGTTTCTGTCCTGGGTGACGACACCTGGATTCCTATTGTGTTAATAAAGTGAAGCTTAGAGCACCTCACAGTAACTGAGGGACCTGGGGACCCTTCCTTGCTCGTTCCCCTCCTGCCAGCTGCCTGACCATCTCATCTGGGTGGTGGAATGAATGTCTCTGCCTCACTTCTCAAACTGCCCCCCACCACCCCAGGAGCCCCAGGGCAAGGGGCTCAGTGAAGAAAGCACAATCCAGCACCAGAGGTTCCAAGATTCCACGAGGAGAGCCACCAGTGCAACGAATTCTGGGATTCTGTGAAGTTACCCATGCAACAGATTCTGGAATTCTAAGAGAAGTACCAAAGATTCTGAGTCATCATGGAAGGCAAAGACAACTCGGCTTTTTATCAGGAGCTGACTGAGCCGTGTGTGTGTGTGTGTGTGTGTGTGTGTGTGTGTGTGTGTGTGTGTAGGAAGGATGCACTGAACGAGGAAGATTCCAAGTGGGAAATGATCTTCAAGGAGAAAACGTAGACAACCGAGCCAGGCCTTGAGGGGAGGCAGAGTGTTGAAAGCACGTGAGCGTGGCCGAGTGTGCAGAAGCACCAGAGGCCCAGACGGCTACGTTTCTCCTGGGCGGCTGGATGGGAGGCGAGGACGTGGCAAGAAGTCAGCGCCGTACCTGGAGTCAGGAGACCTGGATTTGAGGCCTTCGCAAAACCACGGAGGACTGTTTGCCTGTCTATGAGGGAGAATCCGAACACCACACTCACTGCACTGTCATTATAAGCAGCTCCTTGTAATCACCGGCCATGAAAGCACACCAGTGGTTCTCAACCGTGGCTGCCTATTAGAATATTCTGAGGAGCCTTTTCAAAACACCAAAGCTGGAGCCAGCCTCACCATTAGAGTTCTAAAATAACATGTCTGGGGTGGGGTTCTGATAAGGTATTTTTCTTTAAAAAAAATGCCCGAGGAGATTCTAACGTGCAGCCAGGGTTGAGAAACACCGCGCCAAAGGCCGGGCGGCACCATCCTCCCCCAGCCGCCGCCGCCATGATGGTGCGTCACTGTGTCTCCGCGCTCCGCTTGGGGTGGCTCCAGGAAAAACCGCCAGCTTCCCACTCCTGGGAAGCACCCAACATTTTTATTCCATCTTACTCCCCGAGTTAGGTTAGGTTCCGGGTATGAAGAACACCTGAGGCATCCAGCATGCGGGTTTAATGTGACCCTGCACCTCTGTGAGGGAACTGTCAGCTTTTCTCTCAGGACACCTTCCAAGAAAATCCACTCCCTCCGCATCTCAAGAAACAAAAGAGCTCCTGTTTCAGCCTAAAGGAAGCAAGCAAAAAACCTGAAGCACAGCGTGGAGGCTAAGATCCCTGGGGAATAAGTAGATGGCCCTCAGTCCCCCTGGGGCCTCTCCAGGCCCACCGTGCTAGGTCGATAGAACCTGCTCCCCGGCCTTCAGCCAGATTCCTTGCAGCTATGGCTTGGTCTAGACAAAACAAGACAGCAGTGAAAACAAGGCACTGGGTAATGACTGCCTCTAAGTGCATGTACAACTGGTTTCAGAGAGAGGTAAAGCCATCTGGATAACACACTGGCTCTAAAGAGTGCAGGGAAAAATGTCCCATCCCCAGAGGGGCCTGGGGCTGTGATCCAGAAGGCTTCTGTCTCCTGGAGGAGCCTCTCTGAGACGCTCCCACAAGTTTAAAGGAGATCTAGAAGCTGTGACTTGTCTCAGCTCCAGACGTATTATCCAGAAAGCTACCCTGGTGTAGGAGAGAGGAGGTGAGGCTAGGAGTTTCTGGTCCTGGGAGTCAGCCCGGCACTCTTCTTTGACAACTGGCCCAGAAATCAGTCAAACGTCATGCTGGGATAAGTCATGGTTCTCTGTGGAAGGGTTGATACTGAACAGACACCAAGATGGGGTTTCTCTGCTGAAAGCATTAGGGTAGTGAGCCCTGCCGCAACACAGGTGTGTCCTGGGGACGGGGAAAGGGGTGGGGAGGTAGAGGAGGGGACCCTGGACCTCCCTGGCATCCCCTGGGGCCCTCCAGCCCCCTTAGAAGGAAGCTCTCCTCCTCCTCCAGGGACAGGATGGAAGACGCCCGGTGGCCAAGTGGCATTCCAGCCTGGCAAAGCCTCCAAATGCTTTATTTGACTGTGTCATCCTATTGACTTCTGGGAGGGCAGGGATGCCTATAAAAGGACAAAGTGGCCCCCACCGACCTCCTCGAGCAGAGTTTGACAAAACTTTGGCTGTAAAAGGCCAGATAGTAAATATTTTGGGCTTTGTGGGTCACGCGGTCTCTGTCGCAACCGCTCAACTCTGCCGTCTAGCGTGGAAGCAGCGGCGGACAGTATAAACAAACAGGTGTGTCTGTGTTCCATGAAACCTTATTTACAAAAATACCTGGGCCACGCTTTGCCGACCCCTGTTCTAGAGGACCATTCCCTCTCCTAATGCTCAGGTTGGGGGGGAAAAAAAAGAAAGGAAATAAGAAAGCCAGAGAGAGAGAGAGAGAGAGAGAGAGAGAGAGAGAGAGAACTCTTTCTTTAACTCAGGGAGTCTCACTCACCAGTTTGAATCTCCATACCCTAAAGCTGAAGTCTGAGCCCTTATAAGCTTTGCTGTGGGTCTGTGGGCATCATAAAAACCCTTCTTTATCCTGAAGTCCCTGGATGTAAGGGTGCCATGGGCTGTTCAGTCCTGTTCTCACAACCTATAAGGAACACAGCTCAGAACACAGAGCCCTAGAATCACCCACCTTCATCAGGTCAGAACAGTCCCTACAGCCTAACACTTTTTGATTTGGGAAAATGACCTTCCTGAACTTGACAGCTGGGCCTTGGATTCAAAAATAAGGGTCACAACCACAGTCTTTTCCATCAGGGTGTAGGAAGTAGGGTTTGGGTTCCCATTTCCTGCAGACATGGGCAGGGCTTAGCCCAAAAACTTCTGAGCTGGGCAGAAATGGCATTTGAGGTGCACTGAGGATCGGTGTTCTTGGCCCGTCCATTCAGCCAGGCATTCTGCCATCACACTGATTCTAGACTGGGCCCTCAAGCTCTCAAGCCATGAACCCCATGAATATCTGTGACCTGTCTCAGCAGGCAGGCAGGTATGACTGTGCCTGTCTGGAAAGGGACTGGCTTCTTTCTCCTAAGAACCCCTTTTCAAAAATTTGCAGCATTGGGCATCTGGGCAGCTCAGTGGTTGAGCGTCTGCCTTCGGCTCAGGTTGTGATCCCCGGGTCCTGGGATCAAGTCCCACATCAGAGCCCCCGCAGGGAGCCTCCTTCTCCCTCTGCCTATGTCTCTGCCTCTCTGTCTCTCTCATGAATAAACAAAATCTTAAAAATAAATAAAATTTGCAGCATAGGAAAAGAAAAGTTCCAAAATCACCAGAGATTGGCTAAGGGGGAAGAGGAGAAAGGACAACTGCTGCCTCAAACACCCCAGGACACCCAACCAAGGTCCACTTTGACTCCAATGCTATTTTTTAAACTGGGGATGTTCTCCAAAGCCTTCTATATGGAATTCAAGCAGTCTTCACAGATTCTGCATTGGGTATCACTTGGACCTTTCCTAGATGAAGAAAGCCACTTGTGTCACAGTGGAAATAGCTCCTAAGAACTCATGATTTCCCCCAAAGTTTAAAGTACACACTCTCTCAGGTGACCAGCCTCCTGTCAGCTTCCTCTCTTTCCCAGCTTCTCTCAGAAGAACCACCCTCTCCCCCTCATCCTAACTGCCAGGGTGAAGCAAAGCAAGGAAGAAAAGAAAAACAAGGGACGGAACAAAGTGGACGGTACGGAGTTCCTCCCAGCTTCCCCAGTTTCTTTCTGGCCAGAAGCCCGACTCTAAAGCATGGCAGGGGAGTGGGGGGGGGTGTTGGGGGGGTGGAATTCTCACTATTCTGGGTACCCTCTTCTGCACTCAGTGCAAGGGCATGGCATCTGATCTTCCCTTCAACCACAGCAGGGTGAGCCTGGCCAAGTCACTGCCAGGGAGAGACAGACGGTGGTGGGCAAGAGAATGCCTGTCTTCCCTCTCTGGCCCAGTGAGTCAGAGGGATTGAGTTACCGAGTGGGGTTTGGAACAGATCTATTCGCCTCAATCAAAGCAGCTGCTGTCCTGTTGAAATGTAGTGACCATCAAAAGACACCACATGCAACATGTCCACAAAGTAATGAGGCTTTTTTCCCTCCCTTTCAACAAATAGAGCACAATGAATTCTCAAAACCAGTACCTTAATTCCTGTTTAATAGAGGGGGCGGGGAATCTAAAGTATGGATGGCAAAAGTGCCTACTTTGCTGTGCCTTGTCTTGGTGACTGCTCTCCCAGGCGGACTCTTGAAATCAAGATCAAAATGCCTCGGGGTCCCACTGTGCTTTGGACCCAGCTGGATCACCAGTGCCTTCTATGGCAGACTCAATTCCTTCTATGTCCCATCTTTCAGTAACTTCCAAATATCAAAACTCACCCTCAAAAGGACAAAGATTTGTGAGTAGGGACGGTTTTTGAAGGAATCTGCTGAAGGCGATTCCAAAAGAGGGGCGTTGTCAAAGGTGAGTCTGACAGAGCCACAGCAGTCAAAGAAGTGGTTAGGCTCCTCCAGGAATAATTACAAAGAGCACCACAGTGACCTGGGTGTATAAGTTCTGGTGTGTTTGCATAAGGTAGGAATGAAAAGGGGCACCTGAGTGGCTCAGTCGGTTAAGTGTCTGCCTTTGGCTCAGGTCATGATCCCAGGGTCCTTGGATTGAGCCCCTGCATCAAACCCCCGAATCCAGTCCCCTGCTCAGCTCCCTGTTCATGGGGAGCGTGTTTCTCCCTCTGCCCCTCCCCCTCCCATGTTTTCGCTCTCTCAAATAAAATCCTTAAAAAAAAAAGAGATAGAAACAAAACAAACAAAAAAAGAGGCTCCTAACTTGACACCTTGAACAATAAGGCAGGCAAAAATAAAGCAATGGAAAATTCAACAGCCACTCAGACAATACATGACTGCTACTTTACCCAGTTCACTTTGATGAAAAAGTGACACTGACTTCCACCAACAAGAATCAGTAGAACAGACAAATTCCTGGGATAACATTTCGTTTGATCCTAATCTACAACATCTACAAGATCAAAGACAAAAAAAAGGGGGGGGAGAGGGGCACCAAACCCTTAATATCCACCTCCCACCTTCCCACCAATTCTGAAGACCCCCCCCCTCCCAAACAATCCCCAGGGTCCTAATACAAACACATCAAGAAAACAAGCCTTGGGAAGTTGAAGACATTGTTCCTGGCACCCTAAAGAATAGACCAACATCGAAATAGGGAAAGAAAAAAAAAGCACTCCTTTTTCAACCAGGTTTTATTTAGAACAAATTTTTTTAAAAAAACTGCATTTCAAAGTCACGCAGTTCCTAGCGAACCACTGTTAAATATATGGCATTTATTTATCCCGAATTAAAAAGAAAAAAATCCTAAGAATTCCGAAAACTCACCAAGTTAACACTGTCTGAGGCTGGAAAAATACCTTCCCCAGACAGCTCTTCTAAGAATGTCCCGTAGGGGGCACTAAAGAGGTGTGATTGGGACAGACTTGGGAATCACAGTCATTTCTGGTAAAAGTTCTTTGATGTGAGGAATGTCCCAGCCTGGTACAGTTGGCAAAAGTTCACTCCGGGGAATTTTGTGTGTGTGTGTGTGTGTGTGTGTGTGTGTGTGTGTGTCTGTCTGTCTCTTGGGAAAGGGCGGTTGCCGAGGACGAGAGCTAGTCTGGTATTCCTTGATTCCAGAAAGGAACTGTCCCTCTTGGTTTATTTTCACAAGTTATCTGAGGAACAGACAAATGGCAGCCTTGGAAAAGTTCTGGGTCTTGTTTTTGTTTTGTTTTTTCATTAAAAGGGGGCCCAGCTGATGAAAACAAGTTATGAAATGACCTGTGTTTGTGTAACTGGCTGATTGCGTAATGCTCAGGCTCTGAAGCGGTAATAGTCGAGCAGCCAGGCAGGGCATATATCTGGGAGGTGTTTTCCTAGGAAAGTTAGAAGAGAGAGAAAACAACAACAATAAACAGAAAAGGCCAGGAGGGGGAGGTGTATGCAACTATTATTGACAAAATAAAATTGCCAATGACCAACCTTTGAGATTAAAACTATAACTGGAACAGGAAATATTTTTCATGCTTCAAGTTCCTGCCATATACAAGAAGAGTGGTTTTAACAAAGAGTTATCTGCCCCCCCCACCCCTCCGAAGTCCCTGGAACTCATGGCCATGTGTTAAAATCAAGCTTTATTAAGCTAAGAGAGAAGAAAATTCTGGGTTGAGTACACAGCAACAAACCTATCGGGAATATGAGGCCCCACGAACAAACAGATCAGGAAAAAATAATATTCACTGACCCAAGGGAAAAACCAGAGAACCCTCTCTCTTATACCGACTGGTCCACTGAGAGGCCACAAAGGTGGAAGGCCCAGCCCTAAATGCCAGGAAAGCCTCCCCTTCAAGGAAGCGGAGAGAAATAAAGTGATTACAAGTTGTATCTGGTATGTAATAAAGTTACCTTGAGCCCCAGATCGGGTGGGGTCCTAGCAGAGACTTGGGAAGTTAACAAAAGCCTCTCAAGTCAATCCTGAGGACCACAGAACAGCTTTGCTCCAAGTTGGAGCCAGGATGGAAAAACCTCCCCCCCCCTCACACCCCCTTCCATAGGAGTGGACAGGCTGAGAAACTTGTCCAAAGCCGCATTACCTTGCCAATCCCTCTGGTTTGAAAGGCACCTCACTCAAGCTGCCGGGCCAAGCAGGCAGGCGTATATGCGAGAAGCCCGTGCACTAGTTATTACTAATTGCAAAATCCTCATGTGTTACAGCATGCTAGGAATTAGCCCACAGCTGCTTTTTGCTTCGGTAATGAGGCCCCATTACACCCTGCTGGACTGAGTTCTCTTCCTTCTTCCTAGCACTGGTTTCCTGTCTGATTTTCTTCCAAAACAGGGAATTGCCTCCGCTCACATCCTGGGCTCAAAGCCCTAGTGACACAGATTATTCAGTTGGGCCACTGATGTCCGGTCTGACTTCCCATTCGGGCCCCAGGGTCTGGGCAAAGCCAGGCAGCAAGATTGTCATATTACAGTGATAACTGCCACAAACCAAAATAAAGCAAAACAACAACAACAACAACAACAACAAAACCCACAGCAGCAGAGGGACAAGATATCAAATGATCTCTTTTGGATCCAGGGAAGAGAGGGATGTTTTGGCAGCTTGCTGAATTGAAGAGTAAGGGAATGGGTATAAATGACTCCAACCCATTGCCTAATGCTATTTGGATTCAATTAAAATCACCAACAGGACTGGAAAGCAAACAAAATCGCTTTTAGGACAAGATTTAAAACTCATCACCTTGGTGCTCATTATTAAAGGGGTGCTGAATGCACCCCCTCAATGCACAGACTAGGTTCTCTAGAGTGGGCGCTTATGGAGATGCAGGGGACATAGAGAAAAGCCATTCTGGGGACTCACCAAGTATGGGGAATCACTTTGGAACAAGGTATCCCTCTTCAGATCCCAAAGAGCCGTTTTTCCATTTTATTTTCTGGCAGGATCCACCCCACTGGGCTAAGCCCACCCCAGTCCCTCCTGGCTGGCTGGCTGGCTTCTAAGAAGCCAAGGCCACTGCCTTACCAGAGCAACTCTTGGCTGCAGCCAACTTGGCTAGAGACTCCGCAGATCCTGACCAAGATGGGCTTCAGGTTGTAGTGGCCGTGTTTGTTAAGCCAGCTCCCTCTGAAACCTGGGGGGGGGGGGTGGCTGCTACAGAGGGCAGACACCCCACCAGCACCACCACCCCACCAGCACCTTTCTGGTATTTATAGACACAGATCGCAGGCACAATCCTTCCAGTGCAAACCAGTCCGGCTGCTTTAGAAACAAGTTGTTTTTCCGCTTCCAGAACCACCCAGGAGCCTAAGCAAAGGTCTCTTCACTCCCACCCCCCACTTCTCTCTGCAGGTCCTTGCCCCAGGTACACCCCCCCCCCCCCAGACCGTCAAGGTGCCCCTTCTGGCGGCAGCACAAGTTCCTTCTCTGACCCTAACAGGAGAGAGATGGGCGCAGGGACACAAAGGGGCAGGCCCCGAGCCTCTCGAGGCTGACCTCCTCCTCCCCTGACCTTCGCACCCTATTCCCAGAGCGACAACCCTCGCCCTCACTCTGGATTACTTGAAGGAGCCCAACCATGTTTCCGAATCCCTAACCTCTTTCAGAAATTAAGACTGATGGAGGGGGGGGGAGAGGGAGAGAGGGAGAGAGGGAGAGAGGGAGAGAGGGAGAGAGGGAGAGAGGGCTTTCCCACAGGAATAGTGTCCTTGGATGTCGGGAGGGGCCAGTGGGGGCAAAGATTTGTTTTGCCCACCACGGAGGAGTGAGGGGGAAGGAGGGAGGGATTTCTGGGAGAGGAGTTAACAGGCTCCTGCGAAGGCGACGCTGGGGGGGCGGGGGGGTTGGAATTCTAGGAGCGAGTCTGGGTAAACGTAGTGTGAGGAAAAGAAACGTTCTGCCGGCTCTTCTAGCCCACTCCTCGCTCCAGTTTTGTTTTGTTTTGTTCTGTTTTTTTGAGTGGTGGGAAAAGAAGGGTACACAGGACAACAGGAAAATCCAAAACTTGCAACGGTGACCCGGTAGCAATGTCCTCGCCAAGCCAAAAACGCGGGGAGAGAGAGCGAAAGGGGCCGTGGCGGCGAGAGGGGGGCGGGGGTCCGCCCGCGCCGCCAGGTGCACCCGGGGCCCGCACCTACCTGCTGGCCGCCGCCGCTGCTGTAGGACTCGGCGTGCGCGGGAGAGCCGCTGCTGCCCCGGGACGAGGTGTCAAAGTTCCCGGGATAATCCTGGTACATGATCCGCGGTGGGGGCCCGAGAGGAAACAGGGTGTTTTTCTTCCCCCGCCCTCGCCGCGGCCGCGCACCGGCTGCTGCGCGCTCGCTCCCCGCGGCCGCGCCTGGGGCTCCGGTCTCGGCTCCCCGGCGTCTCCGCGACGGTGGCGGGCGCGGGCGGGAGGCGGCGACAGCCCGGGAACCGTGCCTCGCGAGGGCCTCGCGGGGCGCTTCTGCTCTCGGAGCGCCGCGGCCCCGGCGGGTCCCCGGGCCCTCCCCGCGCGCGCCCTCCCGCTCCCGCTCCCGCTCCCGCTCCCGCGCGCAGCCGGAGCCCAGCCGGGACGGCCGGCGCGATCAAAAGCTGGAAATCAGAAAGAAACGGGAGCCCGGCGGGTCACGCCTGCCAGGTCCGGGGGGCCCCCCGACTTCAGACAGGGCGGAAAAGAGAAAAAAGCGAAAAGAAAGGCTGCCCGCCGGGAGAAACTTCTATTTCCTCCTTTTAGAAAAGGAGCTGAGAATAAACTTCCTGTGGCGGAGTCGCCGCCGGAGTTTCGGAGCCGCTCGGACACTTGCGGGGAGAGGGAGCCCGCGCCCGGCGTGCGGGGTGCCCGCTGCGCTGCTAAGAGGGACGCGGCCCCCGCGGCCCCCGCTGCCGCCGCTGCCCGCGCCGCCGCCCGCCGCCCGGCTGCACCCCTTCCCCGCGCCCAGCTCCCGGACGGGGCCGCCTCGCCCGGCCGCGCCTCTCTCCCTCTCTCCCTGTCTCCCGGGCCCGCCGAGCGCCGCTCACTTGCTCGTCGCTGCGCTCGGAGCCCCTGCGCTCTGCCCGAGATGAGTCACTACAATGGCACGAGTTCAACTCCACACTCTTTATTCTCCAGCCCCTGTACCATGTGGATTCACTCACGTCAACCCCAGACTCCACCTTGCAGGGAGGAGCGCGCGGGGAGGCGGGGGGGGGGAGGAGGAGGAGGAGGAGGAGGAAGAGGCGCGGGAGGAGGCGGGCGCAGCGCTCCCCTCGGTGCCCCGGCTCCCGGCCGCGCTGACGCCAGCCGCGCAGCCCGCGCGGGGAACGGAGGCGGTGGCGGGGCCGAAGCGGCCGGGCGGCGCGGCTCGGGGGCGCCGAGGCGGCCGCGGCCCTTCCCCGCCCCCGCGCACCCCCCGGGCCCAGCGCCCTTGGTCTATTCCACTGGCGCACGTTGCCAAAGATGGTCATTTGCGTTAGAGGACGCGAGTGCGGGTTCCCTCGCTTTCGGGTGACGTGGAGGGAGAGGGATTCCCTCGCCGGCTCCCGAGCGCGCCGCGGCCTCCCCCCTCCACCGCCCTGGGAAGGGGCGCGGGGCGGGGCCCCCAGAGTGCGGCCGCGCGGGCCTGGGCGCCGGATTTTACAAAATAATCACAGCCTGCACAGCGAGACGGGCGGTTCGGTGCGGCGCCACCGCGAGGCCGGGAGCCGGGCGCGCACAGCCGCTCTCAGGGAGGGCGCGGCCGAGCGCGGTCGTCGGCGCCCTCCGCGGCGCCGCCCGGTGCAGCGGGCGCCCCGGGCGCGCAGGGTCCCCGCGCCGCCCTGCGGCCGGGCCTTGGCGGGGCGCGGCGCCGCCGGGCGGGGCCGACCTGCCTATTTTTCCCTACGTGGCTGGCTGCCCACTGCTTCCCTCCCCCAACCCCGAACACACACACACACACACAGACTTTTTTTTTTTTCCTCCGGCCCTACAATTAATTTGTTAGGAGTAGCCCTGAAGACGAAATTAACCGGTCGAGATATTCCGGCCTCTCTCTGGATGGGACAATTAGGACGCATCTAATAGTGATCGGGCGTTAGAAGCAAACTTCGACTGCTAGGAATTTAAAAAAAAAAAAAAAAAAAAAACAAGAGGAAGGGAGGGAGGCCCGGGAGAGGGTGTGCCCCAACGAAGTCTTCAGCTGTTTTGGAGGGAAGTTCTGGGAGCAAGGAGTCTGGACTCCTGGGTCTTCCCGCCTCGCCTGGTGGGGCGGGGCGCGGTGCGGGTTAAAGAGCACAGACCTCGGAGGACGAACGCCAGGCTGTGCTATTTACGAGCTGTGCGACTTTGGGAGAGTCCCTTAACCCTTCTGGGCTTCGGTTCCTTCCTATAGAATGAAGGGGCCGGGAAAGGTGACCCTCTAGGGCCCTTGTCAGCTCTGGAACTTCAGTTCTTCTGCAGAGACGATCGGGGGAGCACTGTACTAGGAGTCAAGATGCTTGGGTTCTGGTCCACGCATTGCTTTACCCAGCTCTGAGCGGCGCCCTCTGTACCCCCACAGGGTCCCCGTGAAGACCCGACGGGAAGATGTGCGAGGACCGTGAACTCTGTGAAGCGCTGTGCGTTGTAACACGTCACAGATCCGGTCCTCAGTTTCCTTATCTGTAAAGTGGGGGAGTTGCTAGGAAAGAAAAATAGAGCCGGGAACTCAAAGCTTTCCCGGGGCTCTATATAAAGCGCTGGCGTTTCCGGGACGGCTGGCGGCATCTGGCCGCCCCACTGGCCCCAAGATACGGTAATCCCAAACAATACTCGGGGTCATTGTTTACAGCTATAAAACACATTCTGTCCCGAGCTCCATCCCCAAGGACGCGCGAGGCGAGGCTGGCCAGACCCCTCGCACCTCCGCCGCCGCCCTGCGGGCAGAGTCCCCAGCTCCGCCGGCCCCGAGAGGTGTGTGGCCGGCGGATGTGCACCGCGGTCGCGGGGACGGGGCGGGGGGGGGGGCGGTTGGTTTTGTTATTGTCGTTTCATCCTTGAGTCCTGCCTGCCTGGGTGTTTACGCGCCTCTCCCAGCAGGACCTGAGTAAATGCAGTTCTTTGACGCAAAACCGATCAGCCCTTTCCCCAGCGGCAGTGGCAAAACCAGAAAACTGGGGGTGGGGACGGTGCCGGGGAGAGCGCAGGAAAAGAAATCGTGACACCTTCTCACTCGCCTCGCCGTGCTCTCCGGCGCCGCACGGCCCCCGGGTGCCTCAGCGAGCTCTTGGGGGTGCTGCAAAGCGAGGCGCGCCCGGGACCCTCCCGCCGGCAGCCGCGTGCCGAAGCGGCACGAACCGAAGATGCACTTTTGGTTTTCCTTTGAGCCCCGGCGGCTGCCCGTCCCTCCCCCACCCCGCGCTCGAAAATCCGGGTGCTTCTGGGTCTCTCCCACACAGTCCTTCCAGTAATGCGGGGGGAAAGGAGGAGGGGGAGAGGGAGCGGGAGCTTCCTCCGCGGCCTCCGCCGTCCCGGGCGCGCCCAGGCCCCTGCCGGCGCCGCCGGGAGCGCGCGGGCGGGCGAGCGCACCCTCGCGCCCTCGCCCTCGCCCTCGCCCTCGCCCGCCCCCGCCCTGCCTGCGCCCCGGCCCTTTCCTTTCTTGTGGGTTCCCGTAAAGCCCAGCAGCACCGAGACGTCTGCAGAGCATCACGGAATCTGTGCTGATGCAAGTCGCCAGCCTCCCTTTGGTGCGCCGGGCCTGCCTCGGGGCGCTTTGATGCCGGTCTTCCCCAGCTCCAGAGCTTGTGCCTCTGCCCGCCGGGAGGCCTGCGCTCGGCGGCCCGTCCTCGCCTCCTCAGTCCCCGGAGGCAGAGGAACAGAGCTGCGCCCTGCTGCTGCAGGGACCGGCCCCCATGGTCAGCCTGGTGTCTCAGCCAAACTAACTGTGAATGTCAAACCGAGAATTCAACCTCCGAGGCCAGTTTATTGCCTCCTTCTTGCGGAATCATTTCTGATCACCCAGTTAGAAAGGGGCCTCTGGCTCCTTGGGATAGCATAGGAGAAGAACAGAGGCCACCCTTCACTGAGCCCTCCACCAGAGTCAGGCATCAGGCTGATGACTTTACAGGGATTGTCTCATGCAATCCTCCCAACAAAACGTTTGAGGTGGCTGCTAGTCCCTGGTTGCAGAGCAAGAAAGTGAGATTAAGTAACTTGTCCAGGAGATTTGGTCAGTGGGTTAGTGATCCACTTGGAAATGCAGCGGAGCCTCTAAAACACCAGGCTCTTCGTTTTTTACCCAGGACGCTGCACGTCCTGCCTCCTTCTGGTCTGTCTTTTGTTTCTCTCTTACTGGTCTTCAGAAAGCATGGACTTTATTTGGTGCATGACTTCGTCCTGCACTTAGAGGTGCTCCTTCTCAGCTGAATAAATAAACAGCCTCACACGGAGGCTCAGAATAGGGGAAGGTCATGCCGGGTGAGGGAGGCAGAGGTGAGAGAAAAGGATAGGGAGAAGAGGATCATCACTTGAGGCTGTCTTCTCACTGTCTCTCTGGGTCCCTGGGACCTCCCTGCCGCCGGGCAGTGGCAATTCCATCTCCTCCTCTGTCCCTCTAGCACAATGCTTGCTCCCTGACTTGAATCCGAATGACTGCCTGCTCTGGGCTGCACTGGCCCACACATCTGAGAGGCGGACAGTTCACAGGACCTTTCACATACATGGCCTCACTTGTCCTCACACAGCAGCCCTGCCAGGGATGTGACAGCAGCGGGGGTGACTCCGGATTGCCAAAGAGGAGGCAGAGGAACAGAATGGCAAGGCAACCTACTCAAGATTTCCCAGCCTGTGGGTGTCAGAGCCTGCTCAGAGCCGTCCCACTCTGCACATCACCTCTGCTCCCAGCCTTGACAGGTCAGAGGCAAGCTCCACATCTTCATGATAAATGGTCCTCTATACATCATACCTAAGCAAATCTGCCAGTATTTCTCTGTGGTACACCATACATATTGGTGATCTTTGAACATTTCTGAAAGGCAGTGCATCTTATAATCGATGGCTATTTAATATGGAAGCTTTTGGGTTTGCCCGAAGATCTCTGCATCAGTCAGGAGTCTATTAGGACACAGACTTCAGCCCAGCTGGCTCAAAGGAAGGGCTTTTTAAAAAGATTTAATTTATTTATTCATGAGAGATACAGAGGCGGGGGGGTTGGCGCGCAGAGACACAGGCAGAGGGAGAAGCAGGCTCCATGCAGGGAACCCGACATGGGACTTGATCCCGGGTCTGAGGATCGCACCCCAGGCTGAAGGCGGCGCTAAACCGCTGAGCCACCAGGGCTGCCCAAGGAAGAGGCTTTTATGAAGAATCTCCATATAGAGATGGGGCCAGAGCTAAAACAAGGGGCCTTGGCACCCAGAGCCTAGTAACAGCTGGAAACTGTGACCACCCCTAAGATTGAGAAGGGGAGGAAATAGTGTTATTAGAGCCCCGGTGTGCACTGTGCTATAAGAGGGCCAGCAGGTAGCACAGAGGGAAGTAGCCACAGCCAGAGAGCCCTGGAGGGGGTGGGGTCAGGGAGGGAGACCAGACCCCTCTCTCTCATCCCTGTACCCCATCTCTAGCCAAAGGCAGTCCACTGAGGTCAGCCCCCCCACCAGGACATATAGAAGGGCAAAGAAGGGTGAACAGTGGATCTGGTGGGGGTGGGGGAGGCACACACAGCAAGTTGGGGAGTAGCCAGTATTAAGATGCTGTTAAACCCAGGTATGTCTTCTCTTAGGCGGCATTTCAAGTTGCAGGGGGTGGGGAGGATGCAAGGCAACCAGTGGGTCCCATGCCTCACCCTGAGTGGGGATGAGCATCAGAATAACTTGCACCCCTTTTTCAAACTGCACCTCCCCTCCCTTTAAACTGTACGGAGGCACTGAGTCACTAATCCTAAGGGAATGTGTCCTCTCCCTCAGGTGTGGGGGGCAGAAGACAAGTTGAGAACCACAGATCAAAAGATATGAGTGAATAAACAGTGCTGACTCCCTCCCCTGTGGCCTCCTTTAAATTCCAAGGAGGACCCTCCCAGCTTAAGTGTTCTGAGATGTGGCACGTACCTCCACCCACCACAATTCCCATTTCATGTACAGGACATACCCTAATGAGAA